AAATTAAAAACTTTAGTAAATAATTAATTTTAACTGCTTAATTTTATTTATTATTTTTATAGATTAAATTACATGCCCCCAGATATTTGTCAATAAAACACATTTTAATACAGAACTTTAGTAGGCATTAATATATAACACAATGGTTATATATTTCCATTGCCTCAAAATTTTTATATATAAATGGTGTTTTGTTATAAAAAAATCTTTTATGTTAATGTTATATTAAGTATTTTTAAGAAACATGTAAGGTTTTATTATAAATATTCTTTTTTTTCTTTGTCTAATAGTTCATTTTTAAACCCACTTAATGTATACATTGAACACGGTTACCATCACATATAAATGTATAAACTAAGCTTTTTTTATCTTTTATTTGGTACCATTTATAAAAGTTTAATTATTCTTAAAATCGTTCCCCAGAGAGAAATGCCTAAAAGACAGTGATAGCATATAACACTATTATAAGAATGTCCCATTATTTCAATTACACTACTTGCTAAATATACCAAGAAAAAGCAAAACATAGTTATCCTTTATGCTTTTGCGTTCTATGAATGCTTTCACATGTATAATTGCGTATTTTATACCAGAATTCGAAAAAAATTAAACTAAGGCTGGTTCAACACTTGTTTATAATTAGCCTTTTGTTCACGTTATGAGTGTGCTATGCATTTGTAATTACAATGTTGTCACTTTTGTAGACGCCTTTGTCTTAGAAATTTGTAATGTAAATATACAAATGAATAATTGATTTAAATGTTATTAAATTTTTTTCAAACCTTATAAATTTATGCGCAAATGAAGAATGGTGAAATTTAAAATGAATGTTCGTTTGATGTTTTACATAGGAATTTTCTTTAGACGTTTATATTTGACAATTTGAGGAATATCATATAATTCATTAAAGTAAAAATATAGTTTGAATTCAGTATGAAATATACGCCCTTTTTACTTGAAAATCTGTATACACTCATAGTAACAACTTGTAAAATATTTAACGATTGCCACATTAATAATAGATGTGACAGAATTACATAAAAAAGTGTAAAAAAGGATAAAGAAATTAAATTCATAGCCCTTATTTTGCGTAAACAACTTTTCGTTTATACAAAAGCCATGTGTAATTTTGCCCCTTATTTTTCATCCTACTTTCGAAATTAACACTTCCTGTCCATACACTAAAAATTGCATAAGCCACATTTTAGGAAATATAAAAATCAAAGAAAAATTTGTACATTTTTTCTTTTTCCAATTTATTTATAAATATTTATCCCTTTTTAGGTATTAATTCTCCCTATATTGCTACATGACCTATAAGTATTAATTTTATTTTTTATGCAAACGTTTCTCTTTAAATATAAATAAGACAAAGACAATAAAATTTAGTATCTTCCCGTTTATCTATAGTTCTGGTAATTCTGTTAAAAAAAAGGGATTAAAACTATTACAATTGCTTTCTAATGATATTTACACATTTTATAAGATGATACACATAGCTTGATATGTATTGCACAGTTAATGTATAGAACTTTACAATGTTTATTAATGTCGTTTTTATAAATTAAAGACTATTGTTTAATGAAAATTCAATCCTTGCTTCAAAGTAAGCCATAATTTTTATTCATTTACATTACATTTGAAACTTTAAAGTAAATATTTGACAAAAAGGCATTGTGATGCATACGACTTTTATGATACACAAAATTTAAAGCTTTAAGAGACCCCATACAAATTGCAAAATTTCAAGTAAAAATGATAAAAAATTGTATGAATATATAAATCTTGCAAAAGAAATTTAAGAAAAATGCATTTTTTTTATATATTAAATAAATATAATATTTCATATACATTTACCTAAGTAGATTTTTATTTTTCTATTTTTCATGGGAAACCACCCTTGTATGCAATTTGAAAAAAATTTTTCACTGACTAGAAAGTCGCACATTCCTCAAAATTGAACAATGAATAAAACATCTCAATTACGAATAGATTTACATAAACCGTGTTTAAATTTAAACGTTTTCACCACCTTTGTTACAGTTTAAATAATGGAAAATATTGCAAATCATGCAAATTTGCTGCTTCAATGCAATAACCTAATAGCGCTACCACAAAAACAAGTGCTATAAAACATTTGCGTGATAGTTCGTACAAAATATATTTTTAAGATTATTAAGTCATACAATAATATATGCAGGAATGTCATATAAAACGTTCATTGATCTACTTTATCTTTGAATAAACAAAATTGAGACAGGAATGCACTTATGCGGGTTTCATTTACATTGATGTAAATTGTATCTTGTTAACAACAAAAAAAAAATGTATAACATTGTAAAAACTAAAAAAAAAAAAAGAAAATTAAAGAAGCCTCATAGATTACCTTCAATATTATGGATTTTAATTAACCTTTTTTTTTTTTTTTCCTTGCTGAACCAATGCTAATTTTGGTGCATATATTTACCTTTTGTGGATTACATTTTGCATTCATTATTGCAACACATTTTGTGGAAGCATAATTCTTAATTATGGCTTTGGTTTTTTGTAAATTCAATAAAAATTTTTTGAAAAAGAAAGTTAAAATATCTCGATATATGATCCATGGTTAATGAGAACATAATGCCTAATTTTAATTTTTCTTTTTTTTTATTGAATTTGCATAAATTAAATAGACCCTTATATACAGAAGGCTTCTTTGTGTTTCATTCAAAAATATTATAATAGAGGTAAAAGTGAGTAGGTAAAAGGAATTAAAAATTAAAATGTATTCTCTCTTTATTCATTTTTTGGATAACAGCTCATTCTTTTAAGGCCCACTTGCATATGTGTATGAGGCACATATAATTGTTTTCTCTTTATTGCAACTAAATATGTTTAGTAACGTGTATTATTTTTTTGTAAAAAATGAAAAAGAAAGTTTGCAGAAATAATTACATATTTCAATGTTGCGCTTTTTCTTTAAGTTTTTTTTTTTAAATGTGAAACTCTTACATATGCAATAAAGCACAAAGAGCACAGAAGCTATATTTGGAGACACAATGAATTCAAATTTTAATGTACACAAATAATGATGTCAAAAGGTAGGCATGAAAATGTAATACGGTGGGCTGTCTGATTCCAAGGCATTCGTCAATGATGTAAAATACTTTGGAAAAGAAGGTTTTTTCAGAATTCTTCTATTTATTAACAAAAAAAAAATGTCGTAACATATGACAATATCTATAAAGTAATTATTATACTGTTTTAATGAGAATATAAAATGTAGGTCTTCAATTAATAAAAAATGTTATTATTCATTATAACTTTTTTATTTATTTACAAGGTTTATTAAAAAGCCCTTATACACATTTACATGAGAAATTTAATAAAACGTAATATAAAAAATTATATTCTTTAAACTCTTTAATTTATGTTTTACAGGAAATGTTTAAAAATGTTAACATGCAAACTGAAGACTGACTTTTTTAGCCATTTCATAACAAAATTAAGTCGTTTTCGATTTTCATAAAATATGCATGCACTTTTTAATAATAAAAAAAAAATGTCATCTGCAAGTGGCAAATAATGCTTATTTTTTAAAGAGGAGAAAAAAAAGCACTTCAGTTCGAATTCGAGCAAAAATAGCAAAAGGTTTTTAAAACATTCTTAATACATCGTGTTGTGTATACTTTAAACACACATTTTTGTATTTTATGTTGTTAAATAGATGAATGGGCAAAAATTGCCTCTTTTTGAAGGTATAGTAGGCTTAAATCACTGTTTAAAAGCATGTAAAGTTATTTTAATGGAACCACTTACATAGAAATGATTGCACTACATTTGTAAAATGCCATGTGAAATAATAACAACACATCGATAAGGCAGACATTCTTTCGTGCTCTCGTGTACTGAGAAAAAACTTTCATAATAATGCAACACATAAAATATGTAGAAATTGTGAATGCTTTTTATGCGTGAAAAAACAGCGGTTTCATTGATCTCACTATTGTTCATTATGTGATTATAATTTGTTGCATGCGAAAATTTGTGCCCCAAGAATCAGGTGTGTTCCAAACAAATGAATGAAGAAAATGACAGCAAAATTGTAGCTTCTACAATTTTTATTTGCATGAGTTGTAACATAAAATGTGGAATTCAGTGTATATTTTAATATCTGAGTAAAACAATTAAAAATTAGCCAAAAATAAAAATATAAAAAAATTCAGTTCTCCACAACCAAACATATCACTTTTAACGTTTTAAGAAATGTGCTGAAATGCGTTTATGCTTTTTGAATATAGATTTTAACAACTTAAAAAAAAAAATTTTACAAAAATATTCCCAAATAAAAAAATAATAGAAAACAAGCGTTAAATGTAAAAGTTGTTTCTGCATACATATGAATAAGCACGTATATTACAAGGCAGCATGCAAAGGAATTCAGAACAAAACACCCGTACATTATTTATGCAGCTTTTTTTTTTTTTAATTTTTTGAGAATGAAATTTGTTTTAAAATATTTTTAAGGACAGAAAAAAAAAAAAAATTATGTTCATAAATTGTACATTTGTGGAAAAATAAATATTTTACATTAAAAAAGGTGAAAAAATGTAAATGTACAGCCCGAGTATATTGTATTAACAACTCGTTATATATAACCCCATACAATTTGCATGTAAAGTGGAATGAACAACATTTTGATTTTTTATATACCTGAAAATTTTAGTTTTGTTGAAATTTATTTATATCATAATTTTTTTACCCATAAATAAAATTTTACACAAATTTTTTATATGCACAGAATTCTCACAGACCCCCAACTGAATATACATAAGCTTGGAAAAGTCTATATAAAAAAAATATAAACACTTATAAAATAATATTGTTTTTTCCTTCTCAAATGAGAACAACAACAAAAAAAAAAAAATATACATTTAAAAAACACATAAAAAATACTTAAAAAAAAAAAAAAATAATAAACTTTTAAAAAAATCGCAAAAGAAGGTAGTTTTTTTAAAATGTTCAATAACTTAGAAAAGAATACAAAAGAAAATGTAGAAGCACCCATTGACTCCAAATCTGGATCTCAGGAAGAAAATTCTGAAGAAAAAAATGGCAATACGTGTCTAACAAACAGAGAAAAAATATTTTATGATATTTCCGAAGAGACCGAATACTTATCGGTGCAAACAAATGATGAAAAAATAGAATTAAACAATTTTTATGATTTAACCGAAGTAAAAGGGAAAAAAGATGAAGTTATATGCATATGCTCAAACTCGACAAATGATGCTAAAAATGAAAGTTCAGGTTCTTTAGAAGAAAGTGGAAAAGAGGAAACAGAAATTTTAAATGCCAAAGATGATCAAAATTTTCCCACAGAAGTAGGAACAAAGCATGGTTGCAACACTAACAATTGCAGCAACATGTGTTATGCGAATGGTAAAAATGGCAATGAGAGTGACAATTCTAATGGAAACTGTAATGAGAGTGACAAGGTTAATGGAAACTGTAATGAGAGTGACAAGACTAATGGAAACTGTAATGAGAGTGACAAGACTAATGGAAGCTGTAATGAGAGTGACAAGACTAATGGTAACTATAATGACAGCAACAATGATAATGAGAACTTTAATGAGAATCATAAATTTAAGGGAATTTCTAATGAGAATAACAATGCAAATGGCAACAGTACAGATGAGAACAATAAAGACATAAATTATAGAGAAGAGGAGAAAAATGTATACGTTTTATGCAATATATGCGATGATGTTATGGAAAAATCCATTTTACAGGATCATTTATATGCACATACAATAGAGTGTACAGAACAAATCGAACCAAGCTATAGGTATGAAAGGCAAAAGAATTTAAACCCTGACGCATTCGAAACAAGGGATAAGGATTTTTGTATTAATATTAGCTCAAGCAGAAACAAACAAAATAAATATGCACAAAAACGTTCATTCAATAATGCACATTGTGCTTTTAGTAATTCTGAAATAATATTAAGTGATAATAGTAGCAATAATGCTGAGGAAGATAGCATTTTCGATATGCTTTATAATTACAATACTAACCTTTATCATTTCAGAAACAACCCAGTAGTTATCAACAAAAGAAATAATAATAGTGGAAATTGCATGTCTGGAAACAACAACAAGCTGGTGAATGATGGAAAAAATAATAATTCCATAAATGATTTATGTGAAGATAGAAGTTCACAAAATATAATTGAAATTGTGAATCATTGGGAAAACGAAGTAGAAGATATTTTACCATTTAATAATAATATTGAAAATGTAGATAGGAACATAACAAAAAATGAAAGAAGAAATTTTTTCGATAATTTAGAAACTAATGCAACAATTTTTGAAAATTATTTATATGCTATGAGAGAATCTCTTTCTTCCATATTTTACAACCCTGATGCAGCATCATCAATTAAAAATAGCACCATGTGTAATAACATAGACAATCATAAAAATGAGGAACATTCTAATAGTATTATTGCCAATATATATTGCATTATAAACACAATACAAACTAATATAAAAAGGGTTACGGAAAAATTGAAGAACTCTGTTAATAGTATAAATACAGAGATAATCGATTTTTTAAATAAAAATTTGAATTCTGTAATCACAGATATAAATAATTTAAAAGGAACATATAAAAATGGAAAAAAGCATGATACTATCGACACTGAATTAAATAAAAAATTAAAGAAAATATATAAAATGTTAGATAATATGAATAAAAAAATTAACACTGAATTAGAAAATATCATGGACATTTTAGGGAGTAATAATAATCACACAGATGATAGGGAAAGCATTGTTAACAGTATTAGCAGGGATGTTCTTGATAGTACCACTGTTACGATTGTTAATAGCACGAACAGTACCACCATCACTGAGGGGAGAAGCAGGGAAAACATTATGCACATGAACAACAGCAATAATCATAATGAGAATGTTAATAATAATAGCAGAAGAAATAATTTTGAAAATAGAAGCAGTAATTATAGGGATAAAAACTCGAATGGGACAAACGCCAATTGTGCAAGACAAAATAATTTTTATAATTCAAATAGATCATTAAACAATATAAATGGAACCCCAAAACATGAATATAATAACAGAAATCGTGGTGGAACTTTTCACCATCATAACACATTTTCAAATGAAAGATTTTTTACAGGGATATCTGGAGATTCATTACCACACGCTCATTTTTCTTATTCACCTGTAAATCCACATAATCCCTTATTTCGTACAGAAGCAGAAAATGTTAATGATATAAATTATTTATATTCCACTCTGGTAGATAGATATCCATGTATTTGTGAAAATTCATCGTTTTCCCATTTTGATAATAACTCTAATAATATTTGGCCCCTAAGAAGAGTAACAAACAATAATGCATACAGAGCTATGAATGATTCACCCAATTCTAGATTAAAAAAAGAATCAAGCAACATAAATATGAATGTTAATATTTTTACATATCATAACAGGAATAATAATGACAATAATAACACCTTTCCCATAAATAATGCAAGTAACACAAGTAATCATATAAATAGGAATATCAGGTATAATTTAATTAATAATGGTGTAGAGACATATACTTCTGATTCAACTGTTGGCAATCCATTTCTATTTGTAGGAAATAGACATAATAGAAATGCTAGAAATGATATTAGGACTAATCATATTATTAACACAGTTTCGAGCAATTACAGTTTTATGACGACTAATAGGAATGGCATAAGCAATGGAACAGCTAGGACAAATAATAATAGAAGTATAAATTTAGGCTCATCTATAATCCATAACGAGAACAACGACATAGGAACCACATCTATTATTAACATAAATAATCTCAATTGTGTTACAACTAATAGCAATTATAATAATAACAGGCCTGCTTCTATGGCTGCTGTAATTACTACAAGAGCCTTTCCAATAACTTCTAGAACAGGTGAAGACAGAACAACGGATGCAATTGCAGCTGGTCCCCCATGCAGAAGTGTTGCACCCTTTGCTGATCAACATACCAGTAGAAGCTCATCTAGGAGTAGCACAACAGTTGCAAACAGGAACAGTTGTAGAAATTCATCTTCTGGATATGGCATTTACATTGCTGGGAGAGGCAATAATAATGGATCTGGCAGAAATGGTCTCAGTAGAGGAAGTAACAACAACAGCGGAAGCAGTAATAATAGCAATAATAACAACTCCCCGATCTCTTGCTTCGTCAATGCAAGCTCAGTTGACTATAACATTATCAATAACAACACGCGAAGAATATCAGAGAATTTGAGTGGCACAAATTTAAGAAGAGAACAAACACTGACTCGAAGTAATGAAAGACATAATAGGGTTATAAATAGAAACATAAGAGAAATGAACAACAATACGCCAAATAATGTCAGAGAACATTATGGAAATAGAAAATTAGGTGCCAGAGCAAAGTTAAAAGAAAATAATGATTATTTAATAGTTCAATTTGATATAAAAAAAAACGAGAATAATAATTTAAAAATATGCTCTATTTGTTATGAAAATTATCAACATAACGAATCTCTTATATTTTTACCATGTACTCACAATTTTCATAAAACTTGTATAATTGAATGGATAAATAAAAAGTCAACGTGTCCTATTTGTAAAATTAACATTAAAAATTTTTAAAAGAATTAATAGTCACTCCGATTGAAGTGGCTTTTTTCAATATATTAATTCCTTTTTTTAATTGTCATTTAAAATTTTTTTTACTTTCTCTTTTCTCTTTAATCCGTTATGCATGTGTATATACACATGTGTACATATATATATATATATATATATATGACTCCTACTCCCTGTAAGTCAGTATATTCCGTTTTCTCTTCTATTTTTCTTTTGCGCTTGTTTGTATAGCATATATTATTATCCAGTATTCACAGATTCAAAAATATGTTTTAAATTTTATTAAGTTTTAAAATATATATATATATATTTTAATTTGTTTTTCATTACATTTTATGTGTAATATGCTCACATGAAGTTACAAACAAAATGAAAAACGAAAATTTGTAAATAAACAATTCTGTATTAATAAAAAAAACAATGTGAAAGATTTTCCTACAGATACATACATGTGTTTACAGCACACGTGTAATTATATGTACGTGCCCGTTATATCTGATATACCAAAAAAAAAAAAAAAAAAAAAAATTTACGTTGATTTGTATTTGTATAAAATATACCTATATCAAATAATTTCGTTTTCTCCCTTTTTGAAATTGAGAATTTCCTACATTGGAGAAATGTCGTCGCTGTACATTGGCAAAATATATATTGTTATGGTACCGCATAAAATTTTAGCTACACGTGTATCGGCAAAAACAAACTCCCTTTTATGTATATGAGTGTGTACGTTCATATACATTTACTCATTTTAATGGTTTCAATGCGTGCGAACTTTCATTTCGTAATTTCCTAATTTTGTAGCTTCATCATTTTGTAGTTTCCTAATTTTTTGCAGCTTGCTAATTTTGCAATTTCTCACTTTTTGGTTCCACTGCTTAGAACTATTTTTCTGCCCTTCGATCCCTATTCCCCCAAAGCTTCAGTCTCTGAACTGGTATCCTTTGAGGAGCAGTTCTGACGAAACGGAAAAAAGATGGTTATCAAGAGCTATGACTATATTGTAAAGCATGGAATTTCTATTAAATTAAGTGAAATATTGTTATAGGGGATCCTTGTTCGATGTTTGTTTTCTTTTGTTATACATATCTCTCCCATAACATTTTTTGGGGCTACTAAGTGGATATTCATTTTTTTCGATTTTTCTTTTTTTCCTTTTTCTCTTTATCTCTCTTATATTTTATAAGTTTCTTGATATGGTCATACTTCTTTTTCTTTTCTTTTTTCTTTTTTCTATCTCTGTATTTTAATTTGTCCCTATCCTTGTCCCTCTCTCGATGTGATTCATTTTCTGACGAATCACTCTTTTTCGAATGATCAGTTTTTTTCTGTGAGATATTATCATAAAAATAGTCATATTTTTTCTCCCCTTTTAATTCGTTATATTCATTTTTGTTAAGAAAAATACTACTTTGTCTCTTCATGAGCCACTCATTCTGACTTATTTTGATTTTATCAAAGTCTGAAACAATTTTTGCATTATTTGTTTTGTCATAGATACAATTTTCGCCATTAAAATTTTTATCATTGTAAATATAGTGTCCTTTTTTTATTAAAAATTCTTCATGCATTTTATTTCTTTCATTTATTTCTTTTTCTTCTTCGGCAAATAGATTAATGTGTTCACAATAATGGGTTCTGTCTTCCTCTTTATTGTTTTGGTATATGTACTTCCGGCGAGTGTCCTTTTCAAATGTATCGTTCTTGTGGGAACTGTTTCGATATGCACTACTTTGATGAGCATTCTCTTTTAGTTGGTTGATAGCTTTTTCAAATGTCTGTTCATTTTTTTTTTTTACCTTTTTTTCTTCTTCTTTTATAAGTTTGTTTTCATCATAATTAACTTTATATTGTCTATCTTTCCTATAAACATTCCATTTTTTCTGAGGAAGAATGTTTAGCCCCCCATGACCACCCATTGGTCCTTTGCACTGTATACAAGTCTTATGGATAGAATTATATTAGTCGAAATAATCCCCAAGCGGAACATGTCATAAATGTAGTACTATAAGTATGTAAGCATTCTCACAAAAATTCTGTAAATGTATATGTTTAAGGATTCATGATTTTATTTTCTCCTTTTTTCTTTTTCTTCACGCTCATTAGTTGCAATATAAAAAATAGTGCTTCAAAGTGGACATGCTTTTTGCATTCATTTATTTTTATGAGTGTTCTGCTCCACCATTATGTTTTTATTATTTTGCAAGTTTTATTTGTCAGGTCATGCATGAGAAAGGCTAAAATGGAAACGTAGAACAGTATGGAATTGTGGGATTAGAAAAAAAAAAAAAAAAAAACAATCACATCACATCACCGTAAAATTTTGCGATAATTTCATGGGGAATAAAAAATTTCTTTATTTTTTTTGCGCAAGTTCTTTATTTTGTAGTTGCTCCTTTTTTTTTTTTTTTTTTCTCCTTGACATTGTTAATTTATTTATTCTTTACAGAAAGCATTTTGTAACATTAAAAGGCAAAAACATTTCTGAAAAGATTATCTTAACCGTTATTGTGTGCATTACTTTGTATTTAAGTGAAAGGGAGAACAATAATAATATATACACATTCTTATGTCACGTATGTTTTCACTATGCTATATGTATTTGTACACATGCTTTCCCATTTTCCCATTATTTCAGTTAAAAACGAACTTTTATATAATTTCACCAAATGGAGAAGTAATGAATTCTTTCGTCACAAATATTTAATATTTTAGTTTAAGATGAAACAGGTTTTATGCAATTATTTGTTATGAATAAAAAATTATACTTAAAAGGAAGAAATGCAACATGTTTCTTCATTTTACGTTTTAATTTCGTTTGGAGACTTTTTCAAAAAGAGAATACCTCAAAGGAAAGATATGAAAATAATTTATATGTATATGCTAAAGTATTTGTATATATATATATATATACATATATATACATATTTGCAAGACATTTTTACCCACGTGTGCAAGGGGACTAACTGTTTACGTTTACTTATTTGTTATCAAACTGAAGAAGCGTAAAAATAGATGGTTATTCTTTGTCAAAGCCGGATATGAAGTATCTTTTTTTTTGGGGGGGGGGGAAAGGGTTTTCTTCAAAAAATAAAAACAAAAATGCGGAATTGTTTTTTTGGAAATTAAATTTATGCAAATGTGTATATGCACACACAAAACACACATACAAAACTTACGTATATGTGTTCACAAAACAGGGATATGAACAATTTTTCCATTTCTCATTTTCATTAGGGTGTTTTACTTTTTTACATTATTTTTTTGCATACGAATATTTATATGTAAATATACGTATATATATAAAAATTTAAATTATGTTATATGAAGATAAACGTGTATGCCAAAAAAAAAAAAAAAAAAAAAAAAATTGTGATTGTGGGGAAATGAAACAAGGCTAGGTAATTACGTAATAGTAAATTATACATCAAAATTTGTATACATATATATATATATATATATATATATATATATAATATCAATACTATGGGGGGTGAAGAAATAAGAAATTAGCAAAGCAAATAAATTTGTATGTGTGGTGCACTAAGTTACACATATTCTTAATAAAATAGTCACATGGTAGCGCTTCCAACGGCGCAAGGGCTGAATGGGAAATCGATGGAAATGCCTCATACACACAAAGACATATAATACATATATGTATATATACATACGCTCGTGGGATGGGTGTATATCTATTTTCGAATCCATTCATTCATATGTCGGTAGCAAATGTACAAATTCATACACACTTCTCATAAAGGTATCCACAAAGAAGCTAGAATGTATGCGTGTTCTCTGAGTACTGTAATTATTCCCCGTTATTTGGTGAACTAGACCTTAAAACGGAAAAATCATTGTATCCACAATTCTGACAAGTATAGTAATCTCCCATTTTGAAGCCGTTTGGGTTGATATATTTGCAAGTTCTACATTTAATAATAAACTTTTTATCAATTTTTGAATTAATTCTCTTTCTTTTTCTGTTTTTATTTTTTGATTTACTTCTATTATTTTTGTTAAGAAAATTAAGTTTCCTATATAAGTGTATACCTTCATGATTCGATGATGATGAATTTGTTTCACTTCCAAATCCTTTCTTATCATCGTCTTGTGATGATTTAATAACTTGATTTTCACGATCACGGGAAAGCTGTTTTTCTAAAAGGTTTCGAAGTTCATCTGCATCTATTCTACACGTTTTCAATTTTTTCAGGTAATGCTGAAAGGAGCTTTTGTTATTATAAAAATCATGGTATCTCTTATACTGGCCGTTTTGGCTGAACTTTATATTCATAAAATCTCCATTGTGAATTTCTTCATTTTCTGGAATGCTTTTGTTTGCACTACCGTGAAAGCTGCTATTGGCGATATTACTGCAACTGCTGATGTTGTTGCTAATGTTGCCAATGTTGCTAATGTTGCCAATGTTGCTAATGTTGCCAATGTTGCTAATGTTGCCAATGTTGCTAATGTTACCAATGTTACCAATATTGCCAATATTGCCAATGTTACCAATGTTGTCAATGTTACCAATGTTGCCAATGTTACCAATATTGCCAATATTGCTAGTGTTGCAGTTAACAACGTTAACTGCGTTACTGCTAAGATTACTCACTGTCTTTCCACTTAAGGTGTTAAAATTAACTCCAATTATTTCGTTATTCACGACGCCTTTATGCGCCTTCAATTTTAGTAAATTTTGGTATCTTTCGTCTATTATATTTATTTCATCCTGCGAAAAGGAAAAAAAAAATATATATATATATATATATATACTCAACTGAATTAGGAGTACAAAAATTGTCTCTACATTTATGCCGAAGAAAAAAAAAAGGAAAGATTAAGGGAAAGATAAAAGAAAAAATAAAACGAATGATGTACATGTGTATCTTCCATATATATACATATATATATGCAAACATTCACACATATAAATATTCAGTAAAAACGCACGTGCAACACCAAACTGAGATGGTATAGATATAGGTACCTCATTCTCTTGTGAAAAAATTGAACTCATTTTAAAATTTTCTTCTTGATGTCATTTAAAATATCTTCAAAAGTTTGTGGTAGAACAACAGATTCAAGTAATCCTCTTATTGTGCCTATTACTTTGGAAACTGTGATTTGTTAATTCGTTCGGTGAAATTATTTTATATGTTCACTTACTTGCAAATGGCTTATTCAGTTCATCTGAATATCAACACGCATAATTGTGTATGCATATGTTATGTATACATTATAAACGTTCGTATAGATGCACTGTGCTTGTGCGCTTAAACTGCATAGCCACACGAGGAACAATGACCCTTTTTATATATAAATGAACTCGTTATTCGTTTTCTAAGAATAATAGGGGGTAACATACTTTGCGAAAAGGGTTTTTATATATATATATATATATATATATATATATATATATATATATATATATATATATGTATATATGTTTATTTATTTTTGCATTTTTTTTTTTTTTTTTTTTTTTTTTTTTTTTTTTTTTTTTTTTTTTTTTTTTTTTTTTTTTTTTTTTTTTTTTTTTTTTTTTTTTTTTTAATTTTTTTATAATTTTATTTTAAAAATTTTTTTTTTTATTTTTTTTTTATTTTTTTTTTTTTTTTTTTTTTTTTTTTTTTTTTTTTTTCAGAATAATTATATTTTCTTTTTGTATTTGTTCCATAAAAATTAAACATGTTTTACATGTACATTTTCTTCACCTAGTGTGTATTTAGGGGGTAAACGAAAATTTAGAATATTTACCAGTTGTTCCAGCAAATATGCTCGTATAGATATTTTGCGTACACACATATATATATATATATATATATATATATATATATATATATATATACACATAGATATATGCATATAATAAATGTATGTTATACATAAATACTTAAGCATAGTAACCCACATCACAATTGTGGCACTCGCGCAGTAACGTAATTCTAAAATGGAAAGGTATGTTCAAATAGAGATTATAAAAAGCAAGTTCTGTGTGGCTTATGGTTATTATTTACTCTTTTATTGGGGATACGCCACTACTACAGTGTTCTAAATATGAATTGTGGTATCATTAAGGAAGGAAATCCTTTTTAAAAATAAAAGCGTAGGGTATGCATACCTTTATGAATATGTATACGTATACATATTCATATCCATGCAAGAATTCGTATTGTATGCACATGGCGCATAAATATTTGCAAGGCGATGTAAGGCATATGTGTCTATGCTTAATGCTGTGCATGCGCGATAACACTTATGTGTCATATTTACAGCAGTATGGGGTATATACTTACACGAAAATGTGCAGCATTTA